ATTTCTATAGCTTCCATATCTGCACTCAGCAAATCACTATTTGGGAAATGTAGCTTATTGAAGGAAATCATTTCAAGCCAAAATCTTGGTCTAAGAACAAGATGACCGAATGCTTTTGTAATCCCTTCATACCAAAAGGTTGGACAATTCTGTAATATCATGACAGTCCCTTGATATTATATGTGATGAAGGGGTTAAAAATGTTCGAACAATTTTAACGTTATTTTCAAGTAATGCTTTGAGATTCTGAACTTTGTTTTATAGTTGGATGAATTCAAAGTATATTCTGTTTTCTCTCATTATAAATAATTGGGTATACTTGATCAAGACACAGGTAATAAAGCCACTGCTCCAGAAATTACACTTACTTAATTTACTCCTGTTGGTCACCCTAATTATGATTAATAATCGTTTCATTTAGAGGATTTCTATCACAATGTTCCTAAGTTCAGCAAAGCTCGATTTCATGCAATACTTCATTCTACAGAGACTTTTTTTTCCAGAAACCTTGTCACATTCCAGAAGTGAAAACTCTTTTTGGATTTATGCTCACTAGTGGAAAACTAATTTGGAGACAAAATGCAACTTACGGAATTTGTCCCGAAGTAGGATGTCAGTAGTAAATTAATGGGGAAATACCATAAACATGGAAATTGTACAATATGCTCACATACAGGTATATTAATCTATGCTACCATAGTGCAGTAGATTGAATTTCAAAGCTCACAGTTTGTGGACTACACCGATTTATGTTATATAGTGCTAGTCAAAAGTCAAGAATTGAACTGCCAAATCTGTACGATGTTTAATGTTAATCACGTCATTATCTAACAATAAACCTATGTATTTCTCTGTTTTCTGTTAAATGCTAGGCAATATGTCATTACTTAAACCATGTTCAGGAAAAAGGAAGTTGGAAAAAAAAAACACAAAACTCAGCAAAGTTCCTTCAGAGTTCATGAAATTATCTGAAATGCATCGCCACGTAGGCTGTGTTTGTATCTTCCAAACTACTGAGTTAAGTGCCCATTGAAGTCAGTGGTAATTACACTTAGTAGTGCTTGGATAATTATTTAGCAGCTTACTAACAGTGAATTACTCAGCTTGCTCTGAATTGAAGTTGTGCCCGTATCCTTGTACTGCCCGAATAAGCATGTACAGAGATTAGACACATCAAACTTGTGCTTTCGAGATATTTTTTATTTTTGGATATGTGATTTAAATGTCTAGTATTAGGAAAAGTATTACTGCTTTGTAAGTGAAAAAACATAGTAATTTAATTAGAGGTTATCAGTAAAGTTGATCTTAAGTGGAAGGGCTGTTTGTCATGGTGCGAGAACAGTTGGAATGCTCTATAAACTCAACTGTACCTGATCATGTGCACTCCATGGATATACACTGATTTCCATATGAGGATCCAGGGCTTTATCTGGAATCTAAAAATGCAAAAAAGGTGAAACTAAACTGTCTAAGTAAACAATTACCTCATTTTTTTTAGTTACTAATTTTTAAAAACTATTTCAACAACATATTTATTAAATCAGATCATTACAACAGTTTAATATATTAATGATCCTTTTTTTCCCATAATTCATTACAAACGTGCACAAACACACATACAAAGACTCTCACACAAGCATTTTAATATCAAATAATATTAATGTATTAGTATGTCATACCAACCTTACCGTCATACTTGAACAAAGCAGGACTGGTAATCGGTCAAACTGGACAAACACCGGTTGGCAACAATGGCCATTGGCTGAAGATGACAGGGGAGTTTAAAGGATCTCCCCTGCCAGCCCAAGTTGGGCACTAGTGGCACATAAAGTACTCTCTTCAAGTCCCTTCAAGGGCTGGTGGGGAGATGAGGTCCCTTGTGAGCTCCAACACTATCATAACATTGCTTTGGAAACCCACAGCAATACTCTGAACTGCCACAGATCACAAGAGAGATAAACATGGTCTGCACCTGGTGGAGGTGCAGAGCAGATAGCAAGACCAAAGGACAACCAGGGATCAACATGCCACTGCCTCCACACAGGTAACAAGAGGAAGGGAGAAATGTTTTCATATTTAATATTTAAGTTTACTACAATTTTTAAATATAATTATTAAAGCCCATATTCCCACCCACTATACACACACACACCCCAGAGCCCACCCCCAACTTCCCCCATAGAGCCAACCTTGAGTCTGCCCACAAGCAGGAACGTACTGGCCCACTGGGATAACAGGAAATTTCCAGGTAGGCCGGCATACTTTCGGGTGGGTGCGTGGCCATGTATGTCCACACAGGCCCCCGGGGCACACACACAATCATAGGTTAACTTGTACTTTCATTCTTAACAGCTGTATATTTAGAGAATTAATTCTGCTGTTCTCCATACTCACAACTGTAAAAATATTAAGGTCTACATCGCAGGGATACATTTTGAGAACAATACTGACATAAAATTAAGGATGTTATGAAAATCCCATCTGGGATGGAAAGTTAGGAACATTTGTAGTTAATTATCTTTCTTAGGCTTTGTCAGTGACCAAGAAGTTAGCAATATTTTCTGTAGACACACAAGAGACTGGAATACAATTGTGCCTCTTTATTAATGCTTATAAAGATCTCACCTTGAATAGAGTCTTTGTATAGATTTTAGCAACAGTTCATAATACATTAATGAACTTGAAAGAACTCAGCAACAACCAGACACAATTAATTAAGGGATGGAAGATTTTAGATGTAAACTGAAAGCAATGTGCCTATGAGAGGAAATAATAAATTATATATGTCTATTCAATAACAATACCTTTTTCTATTCAGTACATAAGGAATTGCAGAGAATTTCACATATTTGGACCAAAAAATTATGATTCTTCGATTTTTCAAGCTCAGTCTAAAATTTGAAACACAAAAGAGATGGGAATTCTGGCACATACAAGTGTTTTTAGAACAGGGGTTCTAGCCTTGATTCTCCAGCTAATGAGTCAGTAATTATAACAATTTACTGTCAGATTGAGGTTTTTGTGAAACTACAAATTCCATAATTATCTGCTAATTCTAGATGTTATAAAACGTCAGCTCTTGTAATTTATGAGATGCTTAAATAGAATCTGTGTTTAATTTTAGAAGGTATGTTTTAGCCATGAAAAATCTACTCAAACGTATACTTTCATCATCAGAAGGATATATTAAGGAGGATGGGTGTCATGGTACCTTATGTTCCTAGAAGGGGACAGGGACCCCTCCTATGGTCCCTCTCGTCTTACCAGCGCTTCCAACGCCGATTGCTGTAGCTCCGCCCTTTTTTGTAGCTCCGCCACATGCGCTGACATCATGACGCTGATGACATCACGGCCCCTCAAAATGTTCAATATCGAACGTTTTGAGGGCGTGGCTATAGAATTAAAGACATAGAGTATAAAAAGGGCACTTAGGTTGTCGATCATTGCCCTGTTGTGGTTTCTGTTTACAGTTCCCAAGAGTGCATTATATTCTGTGTCTATTTTTATATTTTGATCTCGGCTTTCCCGGACTATTCTCTGTTTTGTTTTCCTGTGACTCAACTATTGGACTTTCACTTCCCTGATTTCTGGCTTCCCTAACTCAGCTTGTCTCTGACCATTCTTTATCTAACAAGGTATAACCCAGCCATTCTAAAGACCGGTACACATTGTCTAATCTATTATCATATACACACTGTGTGTTGGGTCACTCGGTATTGTGACAGTGGGTCTTATTTGAATCATTACGCATAATGTTTCTACCGGTGCATCTTCAGAGTTGCCCTCAGCTACCATGCACTACCTTCATTACAGGCTCTTTCTCTTCCTATATATTGGTTCACTATGCATTAATAAAATATTGCTTCAAATGTTGGTTCGTATCTTCCTCGGTAGATGTCATGAAGGAACTGGACGTCTGGTGATTCTGACAGAATACACTTCTGGTTCCTTCCTGGGTGATTTGGAATACCATTCTTCATTACAACTCAATACAATAATAAATAAACACATGTAAATTGTATTTATTCATTCATTGTTATTCTTAAATAAAAGAAAAACGTAAAGGAAAAAAAATGTAACTTAAATATAACTGATCTAAAAGATAAAGAAACACAACCACAAGTGTGATACTTACTATAATATACTGAGATGATGAAGTAACCTTGAGGCACTATAAATCACATATACTTGTAATAAAGTTGGAGAAGGATGATTTGCCAAACATAATGAATAAATCACAAGAATAAGTAAATTCTTAGGTGAGAGATGGAGAGCTTAGGCAGCATTTAAGGGCAATTTTCTAACACATGAATCTCCTGGCAGCAATATACCACTACCAAACAGTTGTAGCATGTTCATTGCATTACTAGGTACATAAGAAATATAGCTCTCTTACAATATCCATGCACAGACTGACAACACAAACCATTGGTGGAAAGTGTGACAATCAGCCAAGTCAGCTGCTACTTGACACCTTTCTCTCTAATTTTACAAAGACTAGTAAAAGGTTTAAATATTTTATACATTCCAAAAGGAAATTCATGTTGATTAATTTGAATGGTGAAGTCATAATAAATATGTTTACTGATAAAATCCAGTACAAGAACGAAATCTTTAAAATATATTTATCAGCTACAAAGAGCATTGTTAGACTCATAATACTGCAAAATAGAAAATTTGTAAAATACTAAATCTAAACTACATGCACTAAAGTGAATTGCATAATTTAAGGGTAGGAAACCTTCGGCACGCTGGATGTGCTACATATCCCTTGAAGCTTTGCCAGCATTACGGCCGTAAGAGAATTATGGGAGATGCTGCCCATAACATCTGGGGTGCCAAAGGTTGCCTACCCCTGTTTACAGGGTATTCATAGATATTATTGATTAATTTTATATAACATTTGCAATTATCTTAATATATAAACACAATTCCTGGTTTACTAAATAAACATGTCTAGTTAAGTTTTGCTAAATTAAGCAATGTTGACAATTAGATACCTCTTCCTGTGACTTTACCATGTTTTCTCCATAAACGGGATTGGAAAAGCCTTTTGCAATATCTCTTTTAGGTTTCCTGTTAGAAAACACATATAGGAAAAAACATTAATTGTGACCAAGGCTTGTAAATGGTTGTTACTAAGGAGGAAAAGAATACAATTTTATTTATGAAAAAAAAACAACTTTCAAGCATCACTAACATATCCCAAAGTGGAGACATCATACGTAGAACATCTAATAGAACACAGAGCACAAGTCAGTTTTGAGGATTCCATCCAACATTCAGCTTTCTCTCTTATTAATCACACTTTTATATCTCTGCTCCTTTCTGATTTCTCAAGTTATGATCGAAAAGGACTGAAAAGACCCACACAGTGTCCTCTGCTTTGAGCAGCTCTAGCGTAGTGGTGGACACCTGCTTTGCAGCTACTATTAAAGTTGTGGCAAGATCAAAAAGTAACACATTTTACCCATTGATTTAATTAGACTTTGAAATATGATGTTATGTATCATTTACATACCCAAGGTAAATCTAACCACATCACACATCACACAGTAGAGCAGTCATCTGCCTACAGACACATGACTCACTTGGATGCTTGTCTTAATGAATGGCCACCTTTTATTGTGTGTAAATGTAGTGAGGGTGGGGAGGGGTGGACTACCCTTTTTTGCTAACACTGCCGATGTGCCTTTTATCAATACTTGGGAGGAGAGATGAAAGAGTACGGGATCAACTGGCAGTCAAAATCCAATCAATATCACGCTGGATTCCACTGGATAAGGTTTATGAAAATGAAGGCAAACCAAATGAAAACCAAATTTTTTAATTCTGACGGGGGAGGGGGGCATTCAGTTTTCACACTGTGATTCAGTATGGAGCCTGATGCTATTTAAACATTGCTATTTTGAATCAATCTACTGTATGTAAATATATATATATATATATATATATATATATATATAATATATTAATTCTAGTGGCATATTTCCATAGAGGTCCCAATTTTTATCCAAATAAAATGTTATGACGTCAATATCATGAAATCTAGATTTAAATAAACATTTATATATTCTTCTCACCTCTATACAAAGAGATACTGAGATTTTTACATTTGCACATTATTATAGGTGTAGCTAATGTGACTGGTTTTAATTATATTTCTATCACCATCAATTCCCTTTCTTGCTATTTTGACTGAATGCTTGCAGCATATTTGTATGCTAAAATATTATGCTCACTGGTCCTCTCTTTAGCTGTTCCTTCCAAATCGTGTGTTTGGGGCTTTAGCCATAAAACTCTGTTTGCATGTAATAGTGGTTCTTTTATATAGGTTTTGCCTCATTAGTGTACTTTGTCAAACTGCCTCCGAGCTGAAGTCTATAAAACAATATAGAAATTCACCTACCCTCTGAGGCAGTTTGACAAGGCAAACTAATGAGGCACAACCAAAGCTAAAAGTACCACTTGTATACGTGAACAGAATATTCTATTGCCTTCTACAACACAATATGCACTCTAGATACATTAAAAGATTCTGCAAATGGGTGATTGAAAAAATCCATTTGGAATGAAGAATAACATTTGCAGAATTCTAATAATGATAATATTAGTTATTGTAACTAATAATAATCCACACTTGAATTAAACACCCAGGGGTTTATTTTTCCGTACAATTTGAAAACATCTGAAGACATAATTTCTGGTTTATTCATTCAAGCAAAATACAGTGTATTATCAAACAAATAATAACTATAGTAATAGTGCCTGTGGCTTGCTAAAGTCGCATTTGTAGTCTTTCTACATAACTCAGGTTTACAGGAGCTAATCCCAACAGAGTCACTTCAGTGTATATTTTCTTGGAGGTCAACATTATAAGACCCATTGAGTTGGGTAACAGTAACATGTAGGGAGCATGTGATAAACACCCTAAATTAATCAAAATTTTTTATAGATTGTAATAATTTTGTGAGCTAAAGTGGATACATTTGTCCTAGTAACATATCCACTTTTGCTCATAAACATAATACAATCTTGTCTGAAGACTTGGTTGTGCCTCTTGGAGTAACCGATTGCTAGTCATTAAGCTATAGCTGTTCCTAAATTTGAAAAAATATCAAAAGTCTTTGAGTAAATTGCAACGCATTCAATTAAGCCATTTTTTTTTTAACAATATGAATGTACTCTTTAAAAATTAACTAGTGTAATCATACAGAAACATAGTACTTGACAATGATGTCAGTAGGAAAGAGCCAATAGCCACATCTTTGTAGACAAGTATTTATGGGGGGGTGACATATATATCATATAATAAGTCTGATAACGCTTTTTTTTTAACCAAAACATTCCTCATTTTAATTGGTCTGCGCCAATAAGTTTGTATTACCATTAGGAGTAGACTATGTACTGAGAAGTGTTGGTGATTTGTGGATACCTAGGAAACTGACTGTGAATTATTATTATAATATTTATATGGCACCAATCTATTCTGCATCACTTTATAATTATAGAAAGGGGATATTAAGAGGTAAAGAAGACAATGATCAAAGTAGCTTAAAATCTAGAAGGATTTGAGATAGGCAGATATATATCACTACACATAAGGACACTTATTGGTGAGGTGGGACCTCAAATCTGCGTTTCCCAGTTCTAACGCAGCAACAATAGCATGTTAGCCAGCATATGATCAAGGGACTTTGTGGCCTGGCTTTGTCACAAACGGGGGCATAAATATCCTCAGCCAAGTTCCACAAGAATATGGGTCTGAATGCTAATCTGAACGCTAATCTTTTTCTTTCATAATTGATAAATATTCTATGCCTGTGTTGGCTTGTGTAGAGAAACAGGAAAACGTCAGTTCTTTTAAATTATTATTATTTGGGATCTACATAATCACATATTCAGGACAATATTATTATTAAATATAGTTTTGGGGGAAAATAGATAATTCAGCTCATAAATTTCTGTTTGTATATCCAGGGAAAAGGGGGCCTGCCTATTTTGATTTATCTAGCTCTGATTTTTGACACATCGTTCTTTTCCGTGTTTTTTACCATATAGTACAGTACAGGGGTAGGCAATCTTTGACACTCCAAATGTTGTGGACTACACCCAACATAGTGTTCTTACACCCATAATACTGACAAATTATTATGGGTGGTGTAGTCCAAAACATCTGGAGTGCCAAAGGTTCCCTATACCTGATATAGTAACTATTTTTGTGCAATATTGTATTTGTTTAATGCTAAGAGGTCCCATTTGCTCTAATCACAGCCTTCAATAGTGAACATTACATTTTATAGTGGCCATAGTCATACCCATTTAGTAGACAGTTGCCACTATACAACTCAGTGTACCCTTTGAATATTGAATATTTGTATATTGAATATATGCATTTCACATTTTATACTTTTTATGATAGATCTGTGTTTTTATTAGTAAATTTTAATAAATTGTGGTAAACCATAACTGGATTTCTTTAATCCCTTAAGAACAAAACTTCTGAAATAAAAGGGAATCATGACATGTCACACCCTCAATTTAATATTCCCAAATATATCAAAAGTTATCATAACATATATCATAAAATTAGAGTTTTATGTTATTAGTCAATTTTCAGTAGAATACTGTAAGTAAGTTGTTTGACAATCAATAAATATATGAGTTTCTACATATATATATAGATAGATAGATAGATAGATAGATAGACAGGCAGACAGACAGACAGACAGATACATAGATAGATAGATAGATAGATAGTTTGCTAATTTTTCTGAAAGAGCATTCACTTTTTTATATGCGCTAATGTAGAGAAATAGATCATTTTAAATGTATTTATTTAAATCAGCTTTTAAGGTAAATTGATGCTACAATACAGTAAATATTTTACTGCTATCCTAAAAGGCAATGGATTGATAAACACACACACAAACTGACATGTATTGATGGACAGCATTAATAAGAAAAATGAACGTACATAGCTAAGTTACACATTGAGAAAGCACAGGCAGCTAGGGAACTAATGACGGTGTCAATCACAGAGGATGAAATCTAAGTTAGCATGTGCCAAGTTAACAAATAGACCCAAATATACTATTTTTTGTCTTCTTTGTTTTAAAGATAAATAATAATTTTGTTTTAAAATGAGTATTTTTCGCAATTATAAATAACCATTGCTGGTATATTGTGAAATGCGTTATTTATATCTATTTATATAACTATGTGTCACAATATGATACAGATAGAAACATTATTATAGGGCACCACTTCACATGTCGAATTGGGCTTCGGGAAGTTCACCTTAGGCACAGAAATTCAGAAAAATAATGTTTCTAAAACTATTCCCAAATTTCTCTACTGGGCGTATTAATATTTAATATTTATAAATTAGCACCAATAGCATGTTTTAACCTTCCCTCTGCATTTCTAAGGCATTTATTAGCAATGGAATGCTTTTTAAACACAGTTTTATTTAATTCAAAACATGGGTTTTTATGCATTTTATATATCATATTCCCCATGGTTCCCCATAGCCTAACACAGGGGTTCTCAGCGTTAGTCCTCAGGACCCCCTACCAGTCCAGGGTTTAGGGATTACCTGGGTGTGTCTAAGGTGTTTAGAAAAAGAAAAAAAAAACACCTTAGAGTCTAAGGTGTTTTTTTCCCTTTTTCTAAACACCTGAGACACACCCAGGTAATCCCCAAATCCTGGACTGGTAGGGGGTCCCGAGGACTGGGTTGAGAACCCCTGGCCTAACACTTCCAAAGTAAACATTTCAGTGTTTAGCGCAGTGCAAGTAAACTTAATGATCTGCATTTCCTGGTGACTTGTCTCTGGCGTCCCCTTAAATAGAATACCAGAAAGACAGGGTTTAGAGAGGGTGAAGGGGAGGTTGCCTATAGTTTTGTATGCATTTGAAGGTTGCTTGTGGGATTGCATTTGTGGAGTAGACTACCTAGGAGGAGACAGATTATGGATCTGTGTGGGGCTTCTGCTTCTGGGATTCTGCATGGGGATTCCACGTGAGGCTGTATTGTGTGGATTAGATGGGGCACGATACTCTAAAGGATGCTACAATACGTTGTAGTGTGTAGGAGTTGTAGTGTGTATGGAGGAGATTTGTGGCTGTTGTATATGGAAGTATAGGTGTGTTAACACATGTGGGAATAGATAGTGTAATGTGTAAAAGAATAGGGCCTGTAGTATGTGGGAGAATAGAGCCTCTAGTGTGTGGGAGAATAGAGCCTGCAGTGTATGGGGGATAAAAGCATTTAAAGTGATGTCCCACTTCCTGTGGCTTACCTTGGCCAGGGAGTGGGGAATTCTGTGGATCCCAGTTGGTGCAGAATTTTTCTTCCGGCATAAGGGACAGTATCAGAGCACTGACGTGGTAACCTGTGGCAACTCTCTGATACAGTGGGAGGAGCAGAAAACTTGGTCTGCACCAACTAGAGGTGTTTACAGACCAAGTTTACTGTCTCACTTCTCACACAAAGCATTAGGCTGGGTTGCCACTGCAGGGTCGAGCAGGAGAGATTCTTTGATCTCCCCTGTCAGTCTTGGGGTCTGGTCCCCTTGTCCTTGACTCAGCTCCCTGTTGAATATATTGTATATACTAAAATATGTAGACCGAATTTGGCGCATAAAAATGACGTCAGAGGTCAGATTAGAAAGGTCAAGTACTTTCCACGAATAGAGGTCAATTTCAAGCAGAAACTGACCAATCAGATGTAAGTGATGCCTATTTATACTTACCTCTCCCATTCCTTGTTGGCCTGTTGTGGTTTCTTGGTAGCCAAATAGTGCATTCCTTCTGTTTAGTTGTTTGGTACCTTGATTGGCTTTTTCCTCTCGTTTATTCTGCTCTCTCTTATCCTTGACCTCGGCTTGTTTAATCGTTATTCCTTACCTCTGTAATCCTCTGACCTTGGCTTGTATTCTGACTCTGCTTATTTGTATAACCCAGCCATAAGGACCACTATTACAAACATTCTTGTTTGTGCTTCTGTCTGTGTGTTCTGGTTCCCGGATTCCTGACAAGACCTCAGTTAGTACTCATAAGGATCAAGCAATTCCATGCCAAAATTATTTAGCAAATTGTTGACAGTTTATTCACTGTACATGCTTACCTCCATGACTATCACAATAAATAGAGTCATATAAAACTAATTAAGCTATTTATTTGCTAGATATGAAAACGTCAAATAATATCAAGTCTTGTATAATAGAGAATGCTTGCCAATAGCACCAATTAAAAAATGTATGCAAAAGAATGTTATTGTTTATTAGGACATATCGTTATCATTATTATTGCTATTGTTATTTTTATTATAGACAGGACAGAATGAGAATGACATTGGGAGGGATGTTTGGGAGGGGGGGGCAGAGGAAAGATTAAATAAACAATTTTAAAATACAAAAAATGTTGTGTAACAAACATGAGTTAAAATCCCAACATTCTCATTAGAAAAGCAAAAACAGGAGATTCAAAATAAACTGGACAAAATGCTGGGGTGTAATATACTCTTTAGTCCAGAACTGGCGCTTTTGCATCTTTACCTCCCCCAAAACAAAATAAAAAAAATTTAAAATTACTCTTACATGTTCTTACAGCAGTTAAAAGTGTAATAGCAAGAAACTGGAAAAGCCAAATCCTTCCTGACTGGTATGCAATTAAAACTCAACTCAACTACCAATTAAAAATGGAAAGAGGTATTTTAACTCCAGCCAATATTAAGGCTCGCACTAACAGTCTATGGGATAATTGGCTAAAAAAATGGAACAGCATTAACTACACCCAAGGCTTAGAAAAAGGGCCTTTTGCACATTGCACATTTGCGGTATATTTGGGATCAAGCTTATCCCTCTCTCTTCTTCCCCAAGGATGTATATATATATATATATACTTTTTTATTTTATTTTTTTTATTCTTCTCTAGACATCTGTAGTTTACATTCTGATGAAGGCCTCTTCATGTTTTTTTAAAAATCTTTTTCTATTTACAAGAGAATCTAAGGGTATATTTACTATATATATTTATTTTATTTCCATATATAAGATATCCACATTCACTTATGCTTACAAACATAAAAATTATGTCTTAATTGCTTTTTGTTTTTAGAAAATTAAATAAAGATGAATTTATAAAAAGAAAAAAAAAGAAAACACAGAAGGAATCATATGGTGTGTGACAATTATATCCTATAATTTCCTGATTACACAAGTAATTTTTACGGCTGCGATTGTCTGTTTCTCCGTGTAGGCAAAATATGCAAATATGTATTTATTAAGCCAGGACCTGTCAGAAACTCTCCAAGGAGCCTTAATCATAAACATATTTATTTCTAATGTTGGAGTGTTCCTGGGCCATGGACAATGCAATGCGAACCCTGTAAGAAGCATGGCAATGTTTGTACATTGTGGTTCTTAGCATACAACCAGAAATTAGTATTAGGTATTAAACATGCGCATAGTATATAAGCTATACAAAACTGTTTGCCTTGCAAAATTATTCAACAAATGCCATATTCACTGATATTTAGTATATTTGTTTGAAATGAAAAAATAATTACATCTTACCATCTATAGAAGAAGCACAGGAGTGTAACACTAACTGCGGTGAAGAAACATGCTAATCCAATGCCCAGAGCAATCCAGGCGCCTGGTAAAAAAAAATAACAACAAAAAACATGAAGACTCTCGTCTTATTTCAGGTTAAAAATGTGCTAAGTTATTGCTATACGAGAATGACTGCCCCCACCGTGATTACTGCTTTTTGTTAAATCAGGTGATTCTTCCGTATACAGATGGCAGCGGTTTCCAGTCCACTTTCTTGGACATCTGAAACAGAGAGAGAGAAATTTCTCAAAATAAAAGATTAAACTATACTGTGACTAAAGTAGACCGCAGATCAAAATATTGATATGCAAAGATGCAACAACAACAAAATTTATATTATTTTTTGTTATCCTCAGGAGCATTTTATAACCAATACTGAAACGTTGACTTTTTATTTTGAAAACTCAGACTAAAAGTTTTGTTTAACTATATTTTTCAAGAACCTAGAGTGCTAACTACTTGTTTTGTATATTTAGACATATATATATATATATATATATATATATATATACATTATTGTAAGCTGAAAAAAGCTTAAGATTTTTATTAAACACACAATTATCTCAATATTTGTTGTAGTGATGACCGTCTATTGTGAGCGATACTGAGGTACAGGATCTAATATACCATATTTTAACTGTATGACTATTTCCTAATTATTTTTTTTAAAACATAACTGTTTTTCTTATACTCTCACTGAGCGTTACCCTAATAAAACATATCACACTGTATTGATATTTGTGATGTTTCTTACTTAAACTGAGCTAGGACTGGAATTTATGGATCTGTGCAGAATATTCATTCAGTAATTGGGACTTACAACTGCATTATATTTCTGTAAAATATCTATACAGAAACACTATACAGATCTAATAGTCTGAGCTCTGATATTGGGTGTTACAGCTCCTTGTAGTGAGCTTGTTTTACAGGGGTTTATTTTTAGATATACACTTGTCCATATTGTTTGATACAATATCAGTTCAAATGAGAATAATCAATAAAGGGCTATAATGTGATACACATGCATCAAAGTCATTCGCAGCACACGATGGATGATATTGATCAGAGCATTTGTAATCCATTTACAAAAAAACATTTATCTGCTAAAAATGAACTAAAATGTTGAAATGAAATGATATACCGATATATATATATATATATATATATATATATATGTTTATTATCTAGGCTTATAAACACGTATTAACATATATGTAGTATACAGACAAACATGTTTTATTTTTCTTGAATATTTTCATACTGGGTTTTTAAATAACGTATTTCACTGCATTATAATCATATACCAAAAAACATTTCCAGAGTTTCTGAACCCTCAGGTTTATTTATATTCATATACAACATCTCTTTACCACGTATAAATTCCACTTACACAGCGGGCTAATGAATATCATTCTAATGCAAAAACTATTTAAGTAATAATTCCAAGAGTTTGTGAAAGTTAAAATCTATACCGCAGAGTTTAGACTTTGTTGGCACAAACAGCATTTACATAACAGCTGCAACCACAAATGCGATTTAATTTTTTTTCTTTTGGATTGAACGCTTGCAATAGTAATTAAACATTTAACTGCACTTGTCAATCACTGCTGCTTTCCGAAAGAAATTAAATTACAAGATAATGCTTTTCATTGTCTAGTTGTGCAGAAATTACGAATGGATGCATTTAATAATATACTAGAAGGTGGCTACAGTAGTGTAGCATGTGTTGCCAGCGCCCAGGACAAGGCAAGTATTGCGCCCCCCTATCGTGTAGAACATTAGCACTCCCCAAATCCCTTAACAAGTGGGATAGGATCACTCCTAGTCTCCTAAGTCATAGTCATATTCTCCGTGATGTGTGTGACGCTGATAGTTGTGTTGCATAATTTTTTTAATTCATCTCATGCCTAAAATAATAATTTTATAACATGACAGGAGGCTTCGTATTTGCTTAAGTCTCTCTTTACTAGAACTCCACAGCAGCACAGAAAAACAACCAATAAGAAAAAAGTTAGGTACTATAAAACTCCCCGCCCCATGCATCATTTCCTCTTTCTTTGCTGCTCCGCAGTCAGTACAGGTCGGAGTACCACTGCCTTCTGCTATTAGTTGGTGGCTTTGGGGTTTTATTGCTTATAAACAGTATTTTATTCTTATAATGCAGTATGTTATATCCTTATGGGATTTTATTCATGTAAATGCAATACTGTTATAGTCCTTGTGGGTTTTTCTTAAGTGCCTGTACTTCAGACCATCACTGTTTTTTCATCTATAATTGTTGGCCTCTATCCCCTTGATCTTGCCTCCCTGTCCGTTTTTCCCACTCTGTATATTTCCGTTTCTAATGTGTTATCCGCCTTTGTTTTTTTTACAGGCGATTGGTGTGCCGCTCGGGGTCTTCAGGAGGCTGACCAAAGCATTTGCCTCCTCCACTCCCCCGAGATCCGGGACCGCAGAGTTCATCTCTGACGGTCCCATGTGTTTTTTCCGGCTGCCGGGGTACTCGCGGGCGAGCACGAGCACTCGGAAGCCGGATCTTTTCCTCCACGTAGCGGCTTCACTGCGGCCTCCTCCGCCCGCGGATCGCGTGTGTCCGATCGGACAGGGGGAGGATGCACGGCACGCAGCCCCTCCCCCGCCAGTACCATTCTCGGTGGAGGTCCGTCCCTCTATGGTCAGGGTGTAATTCAGACCCCAACCTAATTCGCTGGTGGTCTGGGAGGGCCCCTCCACCCTGCTCAGAGTAAATATCTATATAGATATATATAGCAATTAAGTGATACCAGATTATATATTATAAATATATATATATATATATATATATATATATTTATACAAGGGCTGGAGAACAGCCTGTAGGCAGTACACCGTGTACTGCTGAGTTTCCTGCAACATGATATCCTTGTTTTTGGCCACAAGCATTAAAGGTCTAACAGTTTCCTGTATACCTGTAGGCACATTGCTACTCTGCCTAGGGGGTTTTACGTATTGGAGTTATTTCACCCTAGGTTCCCATGTTTTCATTGCACATATAGGGGGCTCTACACGGATTGACCCCCTGCTACTGTCGGAATACAACGCCGGGGTATGACCTGCTAGGTCTGTGCCCCATTGATTGGCCTGCTATGTCTGTGCCCCATTGATTGGCCTGCTATGTCTGTGCCCATTTGATTGGCCTGCTATGTCCGTGCCCATTTTATTGGCCTGCTATGTCCGTGCCCTTATGACTAGCCAGCTCTATCTGTGCCCTTTGTTTGGCCTGAGCTTTCTTGGCCCGAAACCCCTTTTGGCCGCAGGCCTGGGAGGATATCACTGAGAAAAGCCCAGTACCCACTATTGACATGGAGATAAGTGGGTGTTCAGGCAAGCACTGCTGCCTTACTATCCAAGAGGACACCAGTATACGGGCACCTAAATATGATTGGAAGGATGAAGGCCCTAAACCTCAGACCCTGAGGGGGCAAGGTTTTTGTATGAGGATCCACGGGCGCGCCACCACGGTTTACACCAACCCGGCGGCGGCACATCTCTAAAGAGTATTTCGCACAAGCAGGGACCAGTGCTCCTATGCCAACAAGGGAGCACGGTTGCCTTGCCTTCAACAACTAACCATCTAACTGCTTTTCCAATATCCTTCTTAGGTAAGGTTAGATAGTCCTACGTCATGTTTAGGTCCTGACCCTTTCGGTTGGGTTTACTTGGCTTGCTGTTCCGATCTGCTATTTACCTTCTCTCCGAGGTACATATTTACCGTTATCTACTTTCTTTGTCGTTTCTTGGTTTTCAAACCTTCCAATTGTCCTATCGCTCAGGTCGTCGAGAGGCCTGACTTCATCTCCTCCAACCTCCCGGGCTCTCGTGGATTGCGGAGAACGTCTCCAGCTTTCCTCAGGCTACCGACGGTCATCCTGGACCCCGCGCGCGCACGGGATCCGGGCGGTCAGTTGGTAGTTTCCGAAGGTTGCATTCTCTCACTATCCCTTTCTGTTATTAAGGATGGACACGGCCCGAGGGTGTACACTATGCCATCTTCCATCGGTCTGGTTTATTAACAGTTTATTCCATCTCAGGTGAACGATTCAGAGAGAGATCACGTGGTTAGAGAGAGACCCACCTCAAGATCTCAGTCTTATGCTGGTATTAGTAAATGGTGTACCCTGCAGTTGGTCACCTTGATCTGAGAATTATATATTTTCACGAACTGAGAGCGAACCCCTCTCATATATGGAATCGGACACTGATTTGTTATTAGAGGGCGCGGCCCTCCCTCAACCTCAGCCCGATACTGAGTTGGATACAGAGGACATGTTTTGAGAAACACATTCTCGTAGAGGGAACTGGTCATGGATGTAGAGTCTGCTATTTGGCTATTAACGGGTGCAGCCAACTCAGACTATCAGCCGGATGCTGAAACGGAGTTCAGGTTGCATTATTAGAGGGCGCGGCTCTCTCATACACTCAACGCACTACAGTGCCGTCTGTTTCTTAATCACACAGGCTTGTACCTGTACAGGACAACGATGACTGCATAGAGGGGCGTCCCTCCTGCATTCAATTAGTCCCAATGACCGTGCTACCATTTTCGTTATAGAGGGCTGACTGTTCATGCAGGATATACATATTTAGACTGGATCCCTCTTTTTCACCTCCTGTAATGGATCTACTGGATCCGGACCACTGTACCACACATGCGAGAAATGCTCACAGAGGTATTTCGGGGATGACTCCCGCTTATTTACTCACACTCCTGGATACGGTACGGCTAACAGATGAGCCTCAGGTATTACAAGAGTGCAGGTTTTGGTATATTCTGCGCTATATAAAACAGAGAATTGCTTTCTGTTTTAGATATCCAGGCCATTGCGAACTGCGCAGACAGTTTTTCCCATATCTAGATGACATGAGATACTGAGACCTTCATGGAGCAAACAGGCACTGCCTTACTTGGGTGACAAAACTAGGGAAGTCCCGCTACCCGGTCTGCAGGTACACCGTACACATTGATCGCATGGAAAGACCGGAAACCCCGGTTGACTAGTTCCCTGGTCATTACAAGTTTGGGATAAGATGCCCTTACTCCTCTGAACACATATCTGGAGCACATGGTTGGGAGATGGAGGGCCCTCCGTCTATACTCTATATCGCTCACGGGAGCCATCTTGGTTTGGGTTCTCCCTAACCCACCTTTTCAACTACCATCAAGAAGACCTACGAGACTCTATGGAGGAACCTGGTGTGCCCCGACTCCTACACAGACGTCAAAGTCGGGTCGCAACCTACCGCTGGAGTACGGCTCAGGATGTGTAGCAGACTCAGATAGGGTTGCCGACATTCTTAAACGGGACAACACATGATTCGGATGGTTGAAGCTAGACCCTTGTTTTTTGTTATATCTGCTCTCTGGAGTCACCTGTCATGAGCAAAGGGACCTTACGCCTTGCCTGCGTATTGGAGAACGCTGTGTGTTCGTGGGACTCCAAGCTAAGAAGGGAGGTATCCCTCTATAGGGAGACCTTGACTTCGGTTATCAATTCACATTCCTGGGTCTTTTGACCTAAGGCCTACTCTGGGAGATACGTGCCCGGACAGTCAGGGGTACAGGGACCTAGAGGTCTCACTATATTATACCCTATCTTGTAGGTGGCGTTTAGACCAGGAACCCATACACAAATTTTGACAGGTCGGGGATGGAACAGGATCGTACTATGGGTAATCAGATTATTACACTCTCTCACTACAGCACGTGAGGACTCTTCGTGATTATGCAGGTCCCAATCACCATTGGATCCGTACTTCTTATCACTCTTAGACAATGACATATCTGGATGTGAATCTCAACTCCGGTTTCCGTTTCCCATCCCTTTGAATATTTCGGGGATTCACTATTCCCAGAATAGTCGACCACCGTTCCACCACACAAGTTCAGTTTGGGACCCTGACTGAAAGTCCTTTTGGAGTCTTTTCTCTATCGCAAACCGAGGATTGCACAGTCCATTTGGAATATTGGAATCACTTAGGATACGGCTAGTTTAACCACACTCTTGCCTGCATAATGAATTTATTCTTGGATGAGACATCTCACTGGGTAGGCCAGGAGGGAATGAAAGATCCTACTCAGTTCTATTATGGAAGTGGTGGTGGACTTAGGCACATTCCTTGAGATTGGAGATCTACCTGCAAGACCACATCGCCGGATGACCCTGGCACGATCGGAGGAGCCACATCAAGAGTTGAGACATGGTGGCAGTTCCTTCTCGCGGCCCTAAATCCGCAAATGACCTTCGACATTTTACAACTACAGGAAAATGGCTAATAGGTCAGCTTGGCAGCTCATGGACCGACTGCTAGGAAACAGGTCGGAACCCCACGCTATCAGCGGATGGTGTTTTTTCATATTTGGGATGCTTCGTCAGCTGGCATTTCCATCGATCCGTCTACTGTCATTTATCGCAGTTGGAAAGTCCATTTAGGATTGCTCTGATATCTCCCGGAATAGGTACCAGCGAAACAAACAGCATTGGATTTGTTGACTGAGCGTTAAAACAGCAAATACGAAGCCTCCTGTCATGTTATAAAATTGTAGATTATGCTAGCTTTAGTGTACCTATAATCTTAATTTTATTAATGACAGGAGGCGAGTATTTCCCACCCATTCTTATCCCTCCCTTGTTTAATTTTAATAGTTTGGATTAATCAGGTACGAATGCAACTCTGCTTGTTGTCTCTGCTACCTGTCACTTGTTTCTTATGTCTGTTTTTCATAAGTAGGGTTGGGATATTTACATATTAAGGTAATTGTGGTTGCTACATTGGGTACCTACATGTTTGTTCAGAGTACATTTCATTGGATAATCAACCTGTTCGATTCTGTTTTTCTTTTGTTTCAGTTTACAGTCCATCAACGCTATCTGGTGTGGCAGTTCTTCTCGGAGGATGGGCATTGTTGTATTCATCATATCTAGGACTTCGTTTCTTCCCCATTGTGTTTTTCTGTCTTTGTTCTGTTTTTGTCGCAGCTTGAAATAGGAAATGATGCATGGGGAGGGGAGTTTTATAGTACCTAACTTTTTTCTGATTGGTTGTTTTTCTGTGCTGCTGTGGAGTTCTAGTAAAGAGAGACAAATACTCACCTCCTGTCATTAATAAAATTAAGATTATAGGTACACTAAAGCAAGCATAATCTACAATTATTATTTTACTATTTATAAAACACCAACAAATTCTGTAGCGTTGTACAATGGGTGGACTAACATACACGTAATTGTAACCAGACGAGTTGGACACACAGGAGCAGGGAGGTTGAGGGCCCTGTTCAGTGAGTTTACATGCTAGAGGGAATGGGGTATAGTGACACAAAGGGTAAAAGTAGGGTTAGAAATGTAGGGTGGTAAAATAGTATTCATTGAGGGCTTAGTAGGTTATTTTTGACAGTTGCAGGAGAGGAATCAGGGTGTGGGGGGAGAGCTATTAACAGCTTAATTGATATGCCTTCCTGAAAAAGTGAATTTTCAATGATTTTATAAAGGAGTGGAGACTGGGTGAAAGTCTAACGGAGAAGAGAAGGCAGTTCCACAGAAAAGGTGCAGCTCTGTAGAAGTTTTGAAGGCAAGCATCAGAGGTAGGAGTACGAACAGAAGTTAGACGTAGGTCTTTGGCAGAGCGCAGGGGACTAGATGGGACATATTTGTGTATTAGGCCTGCCGCATGGCGCAGCCGTGCCCGACCGGCACGACCTCGCTGATATTGCGCGC